AATCCTAATATGATCAAATATAATATATTATATTATTGTATCTTTGCTGTAAAGATCCGTCATTAGTGATCTAGGAAAACATTGAAATCCCAGTTTGAGGACGTCATCTTCAGGATCATTGAAGGTCACGTGTGTAAACCTGCTGCTGACTCATGTTAATGCTGCAGGACATCTCATTGTATGACGTCACCTCAGTGTCAAAGACTATGTGCTGATTATATCACACTTAAATCTGAGGAGTTTAATCCTGCTTCAAAACATCCGTGGAAATAGTTTTTGTTTTGTACCAGGTCGTTTTAAAGAAGTACCGATGCAGAGTCCTTCTCTGGAATCACACAACGTGGTGCACTTTGGATGCAACTATTTTCTAGTATTTCCGTCTCCTTGTTGTTGGAAGAGACTCAGTTATTTAGTATTTATTGTGAGTTTGAAGAGATTCAGTTCCATCTCCTTGGTGTTTTCAAAGAATCGATCCTAATGATGAAGCCCCGTCTCCTGGTCCTGTACGGGAGTCAGACTGGAACCGCCCAGGACACGGCTCAGAGGATCCTACGACAGGCCAAGAGGAAGTGGCTGCAGGTTCAAGTGTTGGCTCTGGATAGTTACAACGTGGTCAGTGTGATTATGACTCTGCTGGTTTACAGTCACTGCAGTGACGCTGCCTTCACTGCTCCATCACATGAATCACCTGAAAACACTGAGTGTGTTCCTCTCGTCAAACAGGCCGACTTGATCTCAGAGCCTCTGGTGGTTTTTGTGTGTTCCACCACCGGACAAGGAGAACCTCCAGACAACATGAAGGTAATCGAACGACTAACAAAGATCATAAATAGAACAAGGTGAGAGAAATAATAGTTAATATAATGAATTGTTATATTATTGTTTCTAGTATCAGTAGGGAATTCCTGACAAACGTTTTATTTGAGTCGTTATGAACGTGTTTTATTCACGGTTGTTGAAATGACAGTTTGATTTGCTGGTAGTAGTTGTCACAATACATTTTGTCCGACTCTATTTCTGTGCTCGTCTTAACTTTTTCATCCTCAGAACTTCTGGAGGTTTCTCTTCAAGAAGTCTTTACCTGTTGGATCTCTCAGTCGACTGGACTGTGCAGTTCTGGGCCTCGGGGACTCGTCCTATCCAAAGTCAGTCCTTCACTGCTCCTCTTCTCGTGCTCCACGTTTAGAATCACTCGCTGGTTTCAAAGCTTTAACTGCTTTTGTCCGCAGGTTCAACTTTGTGGCCAAGAAGCTTCATAAGCGCCTCCTGCAGCTCGGGGCCCGTGCACTGCTTCCTGTCGGGCTGGTCGATGACCAACATGATCTGGGGTAAGAACATGAACGTACACTGGCTGAACACAATGTGAAACTGAGGCTTCAGAACAGAAACTCAAACTAGTTTAACCATAAACTGTTTGATAAAAAACAACATATGTATAGAAGCTGATGAGTGCACATCTTTTCTGTATAGTTTCTATCTCACGCTGGTTCATGTTCATGATACATTTACAGAATGTACTATTGAACTGTATGATATGTTTTTTGTGTACGTTTGAGTTAAGCTGAGTTTGATTACATCTGGAATCAAACCCGTGACGTTGCTGTTGTAAACTCTTGTTTGAAACAGTTCGGACGCTGTGATCGACCCGTGGCTCGCTTCATTTTGGGAGAAGGTGTTTGTCTTGTGTCCGTCTGTGGCTGATGTGGCTCCACTGAGGGACGATGAACCGTGAGTATCCACCTGATGTGGTTGTTTCGATTCTCAGTCTTTGGAAATAATTATTTCCTATAATAAACTTTTTTCTCAGTTTAGTTGTCTACACAGTTTTTGTTGTTGTTCCGTGTGGCAGACTCCCTCCAACATACATGTTCCACTTCCTGGATGACGTGAAGGAGGAGGCCGACAACAGGCTGAGGAACACGGAGCAAACTGTCCACTCCGCGTCTCGACCCTTTCCCGCTAGACTGGTGTCCAACAGGAGAGTATCAGACGTGTCCCACTTCCAGGATGTGAGGCTCATAGAGTTTGACATCACTGGATCCAACATCGAGTAAGAAGTGAAGACAATTAGACAGACGGTGCATTTTCAGAACAGTGAGCAGGAAAAGAAAGATTGTAAAAGGTTCATGTTGTTGATGGACACGAGTGAAGTCACAGCTCAGTGTCCTTTTCAAAACAAAGTGTTGTTGTTCAGGTTTGGTGCCGGTGACGTGGTGAACATACGTCCCTGTAACGCACCAGAAGACGTAGGACAATTCTGCCGTCTGCTGAGATTAGATCCAGAGGCCAGATTCACGCTCAGAGCCACGGACAACACTGCAGGTCGGTGTGATCCGTCTGTGTGACCCGAAACTTCAGGTGTCAACAGACATTTAGTAAACCAGTAAATTACATTTCATTTCAAAATGTCCTTCTGAATTTTGCCTTGATTTTTCCTCCCTTCATTTCTTTATTCCACTTTTCATAGTTCCTCTGCGTCACCTTTGCTTTGAGCCTCTTTGTCTTCTCAGTTCCAGCCAGACTTCCTCAGCCTTGCACTGTGCGCCACCTGGTGGAGAGCTACCTGGACATCGCCGCTGTGCCTCGTCGCTCCTTCTTTGAGCTGCTGTCCACGTTCGCCACCAACGAGCTGGAGCGGGAGAAGCTGGTGGAGTTTAGCTCGGCTGTAGGTCAGACCGAGCTGCACAGCTACTGCAACCAACCGCGACGCACCGCACTGGAGGTGACGACCGAGAGTCAATGTCAATAACGATAATGAACCTGCCGGACTTTTCTCGCAGGACTTTAATGCGTCACAGCAGCTTTCAAATGACGCAACAGCAGGAGTCAGATTCAGTTTTAGGCTTCATATCTATGAACCCGTCTTTGGTTCCACGTGTTGAGGTTCATGTGTCGCCGCAGGTTTTGGCAGATTTCCCAAACACTACAGCCGAACTCAAAGTGGATTATCTCCTGGATCTTTTCCCTGAGATCCAGCATCGATCTTTCTCCATCGCCTCCTCTCTCCAGGTAACTCCTCCTCCTCCTTCACAATAACAATACATGTGCTGTGTTTCTTCTGGATGTTCGTTCATGGAGGAGAAACCAAGATGAAATCCTTCTTCCAGAGATGTTGTGTCTCCACACAGGTTCATCCAAACAGGCTTCAGATCCTCGTCGCTGTTGTTCGCTACAAAACCAAGTTGTATAAACCACGAAGAGGCCTCTGCTCCACCTGGTTATCCTCCCTGGACCCTGAACAAGGTCTGAGCTCATTTCTTCTTTCTGATCGGCTCATTCGTTTGTTTCAAATCTGAAGCAGCAGCAGAGGACAGCCTGGGTCATTCAACAGGAACATGTCAGGGAAGAGATTCTCCACAGTCTGAAAGCAGGTTTTCTGAAATGTGATTGAATATTTTCATAGAAATTGTAAATGGTGAATCAAAAGTATTTGCTAACAAAGTCAACGTCCTGCAGTTAAAAACAAAAAGCAGGTAGAATAAAGTCCTGATGATGATTGACTGTTGTTCAGGGGACGTGTGCGTTCCTCTGTGGGTGAAGAAGGGAAGTCTGAAGTTCCCTACAGAGCAGGACACTCCTGTCATCATGGTCGGACCTGGAACAGGAGTGGCACCGTTCAGGTCGGCGTTACAAGAGAGGAGCGCTGAGGGAAAAACCGGTGAGATCTTCACTGCTGCGACTTTCACATCACATCTTGTCACAATTCTGACGTGAAACTCCTCCCCTTCCTCCTCCTCTTCCTCCTCCTCTTCCCGCTCTTAGCCAACGTCCTGTTCTTCGGCTGTCGCTCCGAGTCCAAGGACTTTTACTTCAGGTCCGAGTGGGAGGAGATGACGGAGGCCGGACATCTGACCCTCTTCACTGCCTTCTCACGAGACCAGGTCCCACACACACACTCACCATCACAGGAAGTGATGAAAACTCCTCATCATCATCTCCAATAAAACCCAAAAACATTATGATTGATCATTCGGATTAAATATCATAACAGCAGATTCCTCAGAGTTCGAGACATCGAGAGAGCGACGGACAATCTGAAAACATAAGTCAGCCGTAAAATCCGCTCAACCTTTTCCTACAATACCCAGAGTTCATTGCTAACACCGCCTATGTGTTGACCTCACCTCGGCCCCTGCCCCCCCACACATCAGCTGCAGCTCTGCCCCGATGCTGACTGAGTGTTTGTTCTCAGGAGGAGAAGGTGTACGTGCAGCACCGCGTGACGGAGAACGCTGCGCTCCTTTGGGATCTGATCGCTAATAAACGTGGCTGCTTCTACATCGCTGGGTGAGTCCAGACCGAGAGTCTGTAACCAAGAGTAAGAAGTCGATGACGTTCTGCTTGACTCTGTCGTTTAGGAAAACAAAGATTCATACAACTAATCAATAGAATCATCCAAATAGTCATGGCAGCTCAGTCGTTTTCTATTGATATGAACATTTTGTAACTTCTCATGAATCTTTTTCACGGTGCAGAGCCGTCAGAGGTTTTTCGTTTGTTCTCATGCTTCGCTCAAGTAGCTTCTGCTTGTTCACCGAGAGCTGGACGATGTGATTGGTCATCACTACCTGGCGTTTTATTGGTTGGATCATGTTTGTGTATCGTCTGTATCTTACCGCTGCTGAATCTGTGTTGTTTCTGAGCAGAAATGCTAAACAGATGCCAGCCAGCGTGAGCGACGCTTTGAGAGGCGCGTTCCAGCAGGAAGGGGGTGTGTCCGCAGAGGAAGCCGAGCAAATGCTGGTGGCCATGGAGAGGGCGGGGCGACTCCAGAGCGAGACGTGGTCTTGATCACGTGTTGACTGTGACACAGGATCGAGGCGTGTTTGTTCACGAGCATGTTTGAACATTAAAGTTTGGTCTGTACCTTCATCACATGGGTCCAGCTTCTTCTCAGCTGCTCAGACAGAAAACACGGAGCTGCTGAAATATGAGAAACAGACTCAGAAAGTTTCTCTGAAGTTCGAGAACGTTCATGATACCAGAGAGTGCAGGAATATAAAAACCTGAAGATGAGGAAACTTCTCTCCGATGTTAAAGAAAATGAAACGATCAGGAGATGAAGTTCAGTCCATCTTCTCAGCAGGTTTCATGTTGATCAGTTCTGAAGTTAATCTTGGAACTAAAACACAGACGTAATAAAATAACTCACTGAAGTATCCAGTGTCACGCTGCCTCTAACATTTAGTCTAAAATACTCTGATCCAGAACACGCTGTCGTCTCTGAAGATTCACGATTAAATACGTAAGAATTTAATATTCAGTGACACTTATTTCTCTTGTGAACGCTGAGTTACTGAATCAAGCTGAAAAAACAGGTGAACTACAGTGAGTCAGTTGAACATTCACAACAATGAATCTTTCAATGAATTCATAGTTTTATTCTTAATAAAGATCCAGAGTCAAAGAGAACAACTGCAAATATCAGAAGATCCAAAAGCCAAAGATTCCATTTAAAAACTTGTATCTTAATATCGTGTCTCTGTCTCGTATCTCCAGATCTGATTATCAGCCGTAATATTTTAACCATCCATGGTACCACAGGCTACGATGTGATATTCTCCTGTCGAAGTTCTGGAGGGTTTAAAACTCAGCGAGGTCTGTAGCAGAGGAGCAGCAGGTCTTTATTTTACAGGTCGTCGTTCTTTCTGATAAAACACAACTCGGTAACGAGATGACAGTTTGTGGTGTTACAGGATTAAAAGGGATGAAGATGCTCCACTTCTGGAAACTGGAACAAAAACGTAACGTGACAGACGCGTGAGTCTTCCTGCTCCAGTACAGGATGTGATGTCACACTTCCACAGCCGGTAACAAACGTGCTGCTGTTGTTCGTCGTGGCAGAAAACCGATTGACCTGCTTCACACAGAGCATCAGTTTCTATTGGCCGACGTGACCTTTGACCTGAGAGACTAAAACAGGAAGCTGGAGTTTGTCTTGGACGGGAGCTGGACGAAGGCGTGATGTTACTTTATCGTGTGTCCTGACAACACGGCTCGGCTTTAAGCAACGCACACGCTCCACAACTCATCACACGACAGAACACTTCCAGAAACATGATGAATAGATTTGCTGAAACACCATCTCAACATAAAAACACTTAAATATAGGAGGCCGCCGTGCTTCCTGTCTATCTGAGGGCCAGCGTGTGGACCTGGTAGATCTCCTTGGGGAAGTTCATCTGTTGCTCCTCGTGGACGATGCGAAGGCCGGCTCTGCTCACCAGACTGCGAACTATCGCCAGCTCGCGGCACACGCTGCTGTCGACCTCGTCAGGGACCACGCCCTCGTACGACATGTTGTCCTTGATGACGACGAGGCCGTTGGGCCGCAGGGCTTTCTGGCAGCGACGCAGGAACTCCACCAGGTGGTCGTCTGTCAGGTGACCTGGAAACGGACAAGGGAACGTCACGTCTTCGGTGGAGAACAAGATACCATGAAGTTTGACTGTGGTCGTATTCACACGACTACGTTTTGTTCTCGCGTCTCTAGAACACAGCGACAGAATTCGTGGTCACTCCTCAGACCCCCCGGCGACCAGACTCACCGATGACCCACTGGATCCAGATGACATCGTAGCGTCCGCTCTCGGGTACGAAGTCCTGCAGGCCGCTGCAGAAGTAGTTCCCCACTCTCTTGCTCTCCTCCCCCAGGTACGTCTTGGCTTTGTCCAGGAACTCCTGCGTCACGTCCACCAGGTCCACTTTGTCGAACAGAGGCAGCAGCAGGCGCTTGGTGATTCTCCCGATGCCGGCGCCACAGTCCAGAGCGCAGCCCGTCCCCGTCTTCCCGTCCCCTTCCTTCAACAGCAGAAAATCCCAGAAGTCATGAGCTTTAGCACAACGCACAAAAGACGATGACAAATGTTCTTTAATTTCTGTTTTCAATGTGTAATACTGATAATCTATCAGAGTCGTGGTCACCTTCAACCTCTTGATCCATTTCAGAAGATTCACGATGCACGTTTATTCCTCTAACTACATGTTGATCTGTTCGTTTCAGTTCTAAATATCTGGTTGTTTTTGTTTGTGATAAAGTTGATGAGGGGGCGTGTCAGACTAACGGATGATGTCACCACTGAACTTTTAAATTCACACAAGAAGAAAAGTTCTTACACCGAGGAACTTGTGCAGAAACGCCTTTGACCCATTGATGTCGATGTTGGAGATGCTGCCGTAGCCTCCCAGCATCCCGTCCACTGTGGGGGACACGTCCCTCCAGTAATCCTCAGCGTTGGAGTAGAAGCTTGTCTCGTCTTGTGCCATGTCCCCCATCCTGTTAGATGACAAGTTTAAAACCACATGATGACAACAACAAGAATTTTACTGTTTGAACAAAGTTACATCGCTGAAGGACACAGAGAGACAGACAGTGAGACAGACAAACAGAGAGACAGACAG